CTGAGGATCCCCGCTGCCGCTCATTGATTGGTTGTAAATGCGTATTGCATCACGTGATATATTAAAACAACTATCCGAGAGTTACTAGCATGCAGTCGAGGGATATATAAACATAGTGTTTGTCGAAAATTAAGAACCGTTTGCAATAATATAGAGAGATTCTTTCTTTTGCCAATTTGCTTTGAACAACATTATTCAAAAATGTCTGGAAGAGGAAAGGGCGGCAAGGTCAAAGGAAAGGCCAAGAGCAGATCGAGCAGAGCCGGATTGCAGTTCCCGGTGGGAAGAATACACAGGCTGTTGCGCAAAGGCAACTACGCCGAGAGAGTTGGAGCCGGAGCGCCCGTATACTTAGCAGCGGTCATGGAGTATTTGGCGGCCGAAGTTTTGGAGTTGGCCGGAAACGCCGCCAGAGACAACAAAAAGACTCGTATCATCCCTCGCCATCTTCAGTTGGCCATAAGAAACGATGAAGAGTTAAACAAACTCCTGGCCGGAGTCACCATCGCCCAGGGTGGCGTTCTTCCAAACATCCAAGCCGTCCTCCTGCCCAAGAAGACTGCCAAGGTCGGCGGAAGCGGTTCCGCCTCTACTGGAGGAGCCAGTCAGGCTAGTCAAGCCAAGTAAAAAAGTACCCCGACCACACCACCATAACAAAAGGCTCTTTTCAGAGCCGCCCAATTTTAACGACTGTTTGCCTGCTCTTTTGCTATTGCTTTCGCCAATTTTTTTTTCTAGACATTGTTTCGTTGCCAAGCATTCCTATGGTTAGGGATTCGAGAATATAGACGAATCTATTTTTATGCACCTAACTTTTTAACTGATTAACAACGGCTGATGTTCTTGCGCTTTCAATAATGCTGCTAATGAATTGGATCGAGGTGCTTCAGCTGTCACCAACAAATTTCATAAGCAACAAAAATAATTTTAATCATCGATATGAAATCGTATTGAAAGTTCCTTCGCTGATTAAATTTGCCGATTTATTTACATTATAGACATGAAATGATGGGAATAATTATTGTAGTTTACCTTCTTTAAATAGATAATGCAATCAAATTGACGCCGTGCAGTTAGCTTTGTGCACGTTATTTAGCAAAAAATTGCTTCAGCTCTTTCCTATCTAACGTAATAAAGCTAATGCAATCAAACAGACGCTCCATCGTCGGTCCATTCTGATTAGCCGAAGGAGACTTGACCTTATTGATATTGATTACTCAAGTCGATTGTTAAAGGCGATGGGCAAGTAATTTTTGACGCATTTACCCGAATTGAAACACGATCCTATCCAAGTACATAGCAAACGTAATTAAAAACCAGAGCAAACAGATGAACGCGAATAAACAAGACGCGCACACCAAAGTGGAGTTCAATCAACCAGGCGAAGTTTGTCGATCGTTAAATTTGGTGGCTCTGAAA